AGCTAGTTACTGGTGGTAATCTTCAGTCGACAGGAAAGGAGACTGTAAGTTTTTCAAGAAAAATCAGTCAACACACAACCACAATCAGTACGAAATTGTACACTTATGTTAAAGTATCCCTCTTTCTTTTCCTGTTCCAGAAAATATAGTTGACGATCTACAACGAAGGTGTCTCGGATGCGAGATGCCTTTAAATCATTTTGCGCAAAAAGAAAAGTAACAATAAATGAAAACAAAATTTAGTGTGTGTAGAAGCTTCTTCTCCTTTCTCATCACTTATCAAATGTACATAAATGATATACTTATTTTTTGAAATTGAAGAAAAGCTATGGCGTCGGGGCACATAGTCTTTTCCACTCTATTATTTTTCTGTTGTTCTATGATCTATCTGATTTCTATCTGCTTTCACTAATGAATTTTGGGAAAATTTAACACACTTTATTAAAGTAAAAATAATGAAAAAATTGCTCTTCTCGAATCTTCTCTTCAGACAAGGTATTTTAGTCAGTTTCGGAGGATGATCGAGTTATGGTTGGCTCAGGACGTGACGATGCTAGCGATGGACGAACTTGTGGGAGTAAGGATGCGCTGACAGATGCAACTCGTCCGAACAAAGATGCGCCCGAAGGCCATCAGAATCCTGAACTTTTCGCCTACGCCGAAGCTCCGACACAGCAAATTTCGGTAATAGATGGGAATTCACCTCCTCAGGATGAGTAAGAAGGGAAGTGATCTTAAGTGTTAGCATGATTCATATGACTGTTGCATAAAAATCAATAGACATGGGTTTTGAGATAAAAGCAACTGATGACACAAAAAATTTGCAAACTTATATGAATGTGCCATATAACAGGAGGATCGAGGTATCTTTCCGAGCGGAATCGGTACTTTCTTAATGGCTAACATGACTTTAAGGGCGAGGCAACATCTTCTCAAACTTGCGATTAAAAATTTGTAAAATTATACCTTTTACAGTATTGTTTCAGTTGAAAGATTTAAAGCAGCGTTCGCCCAACTTTGCGAAAGCAAAATTTAAAATATTTATCTGGATTGATATAGATTTACACATTGTA